ATTTGGGTCCCACTTGTTTGAGAGGGGAATGATGGGGTTGGGATCTAGACCCCAAAAAGGAAAAATCCTGGACTTTCCCACATGGCCCAAATCTCTGGATTTTGCCTGAGGCTATAATCCCATCAACTGGCCTTTCATTGTGGCTATAACCAACCTCCCAATTCTCCCTCACCCTTAACCTAGCCTAACCCTCCATTGTCTTACCTCCCTATGGCCCCAGGCCACTTCCCACCCTTAATTCTATCTAGGCTCCATTCTCCCTTGGCCTTGTGGTCCAGGTCCCTGAAATTCTATTACCTCATAGACTACTTAGCCACTCATAGATCCCTCCCATAGTCTTTCTGTATATAAGGTCCATCTTGTCTCCATTAAGGTGATCTGATTCTTATAATCTAGCCACTGCTCAGATTCTTAAAATCTAAGCACAGCTCAGATTTTTAAAATCTAGCCACTGCTCAGATTCTTATAATCTAGCCAAATGCTCAGATTCTTAAAATCTAGCCACTGCTCAGATTCTTAAAATCTAGCCACTGCTCGGATTCTTATGATCTAGCCACTGCTGGGATTCTTAAAATCTAGCCACTGCTCAGATTCTTATAATCTAGCCAATAGCTCACTAACATTCAGACTCCTTGAGTTTGCCCAGTATGATGGATGTAATAAACCTTGTCTTTGGCTGAAAGAAGGCTTAGGTCAAAGTCTTTCAGGCAGGACTTGTGTGTTGTGATTTTGGCGTCCCAGCATTCTTGAACCCCTAAACCTCATCAGAATCATACATTCGGAAGCCATCTAGCCCAACTTTCTGGCATATAGATGAGTTCTATGGAGGCTAAGTAACTTTCCCGACATTGCACTGGTTGTGTCAGAAGCAGAATCCTCACCTAGATCTTCTCATTACAAAGCCAAAGTTTTCTGCTCTATACCATTCTGCTTCCATGACTGAAACAGATTCCACTTACATTTTGTTAACATGTGCCCCTGAATAAAGCCATGCCCAAACTGTCCCTGGATAAGGAAAGCATAACATTCATATATCTGCTACAGTTCTTATATGTGAAATCTGGGGCTGTTTGTGATGTAACTGCAGCTTCAGAATCCAAAGCATACTTTTCCCTTAATAAGTCAAGTTAGTATGTTTTCTACCATTATTGTCCTGCCAGAGTTGAAACCCCACCTACCCCCAAGGGCAGTCAGCTCTCTCCACAGTAGTCTGGAAGATAACATATGGGGCTATCAAATGAGATTATAATTGTAAAGTGCTTAGCATGGTGCCTGGCATATAGTAAGCATTATACAAATGTTAATTATCTCCATCATCATAATTTTTTTTCAAGGTAAGGACTGCATTCAGAAAGAGAAGGATCAATTAAGACCTTTATTCCACCCCTAGAAACTCTATCTGGCTCCATAGAATGCATTTTCCCAGCTTGCTTTGTGAAGGCCACCTAGCTTTGGTCCTAGAATTCCACAGTTCTTTGAAGCTATGCTCTGTGTATTTACAAAACATTTCATCTGCTCATTGTAGAAAAGTCTTTATAGCACTAGAACAAAAAGGACTTTGGTGAACAAAAATTTGAATTTCTTTACAAGTGTAAACAGACTTGGGGTGGGAGGGGGAGTCTGCTATTAAATCAGGCCAATATCTGCCATAAGTTTTATCCTAACTGAAAGGTTGCCTTACTGGAGGCAAGGCAGCTACCATCATCGACTTCCAGGTAATTAATTTAAGTAGGCAAGGAGCAATTACTCATACAATTAGCAACAGCATGGGAATTTTTGCTATATCTGCTAGCTACTGCCAAGAGAGCCCATTTTTCCTTACACAACAAAGTGAGCTCAAAGATCAAATATTCTTTAAGAAAGTATCAAGAGACATATAGTAGAAATGCTCAGTGTTACTTAACACAGTGACTATCAAATGTAAGGCTGATGGTTTTGGCTCATCCAATTGCTTAATCCAAACATTTATTAGTCTTACCTTATGTGAAATACTGCTATGGGGGAGGGGGCATCCCTGCAGAGTAGATACATAATCCTTGCCTCCAGGAGATTAGACTCTAACAGGGTTGATAAGACATCTACATAGATAAATATGAAGCACATTAAGATGTGATGATTACAAAAGAAAACTACAAAGAGCTATGAGATCAAGTGAAGGAGAGTTCACTTTCTTAATTCATATTAGTACTGTTATTTACCAAGGCAAAAGTATTATAATATCTAAGAGTCTTTTGCTCTTCTGACATTATCAAATAAGATCAAACAATTTAATGTCTGGTGTCTACCTCATGGAGGCAGTGGTGGAGAAAAGACTATTCTTTAAATGAGGAAAACTTTGGTTCAAATCTCATATCTGACACATTCTGTTTACATAACAAGTCATTTAACCTCTTAGACTCCCAGCCAAATCTCTAAGACTATAAGGTAGGTAAAAGATACTGTCCTGTATTGGTAAAGGAATTTCCCTTATCTTGGAGGGAGCTACCTATACCAACTAAATCACAAGTCTAGACTAAAGCTGGAGTACAGTGCCCAAAATCAACATTCAAAAAATCATAGATGCTCAGATTTGGAAGAGTCCTCAGAAGATTTTCATAAAACACAATGTTGAATCTACCCCTTCTACCCTGACTCTCCTCCAGAAAGGAGCATTGCAGTATCCTCTCCAAACTGATTTTACTACTCAAAACTGAACACAATAATGTGCTTGGACCAAGGTCTTCATTAATTCATTTAACAAACATTTATTAAGTACATACTTGCTGAAGGCAGAGCACTATGCTAGGGGAGATACAAAGATAAGACAAAATTATGCCTCTTATAAAGCATACAGTCTAGGGGAATAAACTAGTTCATCTTATTTTTGGAAAACTGTAAAAGGAAATGACAAGAATAAAATAAAATAATTAACCATTGTTCCAAGAACAAATGCATAATGCATTGTTAAAATGAGGTCTTTTTCAGTCCCATTCCAATTGCCATCTATAAACCCACAGAAGGGTTTGTCACTTTTTTTTCTTTAGAGAAAATTAGCTACAAAACCATAGGTCCACCACCAGATTAGATATTGCTCTTGTATTTTAAACCTTGTGATTCTTTGTCATAGTATTATATAAAGTCATTTTATAGAATGTTATCAAATGCTTCAAAGCAGACATAATTTGTCAAAGTAAAACAAATGCACAGCGACATATTGAATTTGAGAAGTCCAAGAAACTCATTCTGACAATTCATTTTGGCCTATATTTACTGTAATTTTTTTTTTCTTAACCATGGACTTCTTTAACAGGGCCAACCAGAATTCTTTAAAGAATTTAATTCAAAAAAAGAGGTGGCAACCAAACCACTTTCCTTCACACACTTCATCAAAATAATGTTCTAGTCTATTCCTAAATGCCTAGAACCTAGAATGGAAAAGTTCAATGTAATTGAAAATTCAGGCAAATTTGTAGAAGTTTGTGTGAAGAGAAACCTTACAAAGTTTGTTCTTCATTTCTATTCCTCCACCAACCAGCCCATTTTAAAGATGCATGGTTGACACTGACAAATGGAATTTTGTGATAATATTAGCAGTTCTCCAATAATTCTACCAAAAATGTAGTGAATGACAATCCCTGACAGCCTCATTAGTTTTACTGGAATATTTTTCCCAATTTGGTCTTCTTACTTTTGATAATAAAAGATTCCTCTGAAGACTAGGGGAATCCTAGTGAGTCCTCAATAAATAGAAATAAAATTTTAGGATTTTGTTGGACCTTTAATTTCACTGATACAACAATCCCTTCTCCAATAGAGACTTTGATTCTTCTGTGCCTTTTAATCCTGTATCATTCTTGCACATATCTTTCCATAAAGTTTCCCTTGAGAATCCAATCAATGCACTGGAAAGCTTTCCACTAGTTCTTTTAATATCGTGGAGATAGCAAACTGTTATTCAAACTATCCATCTGTTGTCTCCCCTTTTTGATACATAATGGATGGCTAATTTCCTTTTTTTGTCATATATGTTCTTGAGGATATCTTTTATTTTGGATGCAATTCATTATGGATAATATTCTATACCTACTTACACTCACTATCCATCTTTACGTCATTCTTTGGATTATTTATAATCACATGTGTTCTTCCTTGCAATATGTCATATTAGAGGAATATTAGTGTTAAAATATGCTTTTGCAACAGCATGAAATTTGAAATCATGCATAGCACTACATAATATCCCAAAAGTAATGCAAAGCAATCTCTTTCTATTCAATTCTGGACCTGGTTTATTGTCTACCTGTATCACCTTTTTACATCAGTGATGAACTCACCTGAATAATTGTCTATCTAGCTCATTGATACTTCCTTTTTTTTTTTTTGGAGGCATTTGGAGTTAAATGACTTGCCCAGGGTCACAGCTAGCAAGTGTCTGAGGCCAAGTTTGAACTCAGATCCTCTTAACTCCAAGGCCAATGCTCTATCCACTGTGCCATCTAGCTGCCCCTTAGCTCATTGATTCTTAATCTTTTTATGTCAAAGACTCCTGTTCTGTCCAGAAATTCTGAGGGTCTTCCCCTCCCAGTTTGCTTCTTTGTGAAGGAAAACTAGGCTATCTTTTGCCTCAGTTCTTACCTAGCCTTTAACTACTGGATGGATGTTGCCTCAGACAAGCTGGGACCTGGGAAAGAACTTAGCTTAAAAAGGCCAGGGTCTCTCATTGCATCCAGTGCTATCATCAGCCATCCTGACCCATGTCTTGACACTGGACTCCAATGACTCTGGAGGAGAAAGTGAAGATGATGACTTTGCATAGCCCTGCCTCACTTAAAACCAATTCACTTGCAAGCCAAGACATCACCCTCCTGATGTCATTGGTCCTCTTCAAGAATGAAGGATGAACAACAACAACAAAATCTATAGATTGTTTCTCACAATAATGTTTTTAATGCATAAAATAAAATATAGAACTTTACAAAGGAAATTGAAATAGTTATCAAAATATTGGAAGGAAATAAATGTATCAATTCCAGGTTGTTATTTTTTTCCCACTTTTGTTTTTCATTGTGGAAGACAGACCAATGTTTTTGGCACATTGCTATGAATTTCCCTAAGGTTTTCAATCAAGCTATGTTCCAGAGCTCTATGATATTGTGATGTCATCTAGCACCTAGATGGAATCCTGCTTTTGCTTCTACCCTATGAAGGATTCATATACTACACTGAACATTTGGTAACATAGTTTTGCTTCACTTGATCTGAATACTCAGCACTTGGGGAAAAAAATAGATTTTTAACAAAACAGACTAGGTAAATATTTACTGACTTTATATTAGACAATACAAGAACCTCATCTATAGTTGGTTGATTAATTTTTAAAGGTATCTGGACTAAGTTTTGTTGTTGCTTTTTTATGAATTAAGACTTAAGAGAATTACTACAATCAAACTAAAGCCAGGAGCTAAAGCCTAGAGGCTGGTAAGTCTTGACAAAGATTGTGATAAGAATACTGATGCTGTGATGAAAAGGAAGAGGCTTAGACATAAATGAATGAAAAAAAAACATTTACTAAGTGCTTACTATGTGCCAAACAAGCACTATGCTATACACTGGGAATAAAAATAGAAAAGTTAAGCCATCCTTGGTTCTCAAAGAGCTCCCACTGTAACTGCGGGAGGCAACACATAAGAGAAAGTTCAGATCAAGAGCAGATGAATAACTCTAGAAGTCCTAAACGTACAGCATCAGGACATATAGCATGGCTCAGGGATCCTTACTTTACAGAAGCAGGTCAAATGACAGTCCTGGGGGATTGCAGGGTATAGAAGCTGGGTAGATTATAAGGCCTGGAGGATCTTAGGAGGCAGTGACAATGCATATAGTAAGGCCTGATGATCTTACCATAAAGAAGAGAGTTGTTGATTCCCATCTCATCCAACTTGTGTGAGTAGTCAAGCAGTAAGAGGAGAGGGCAACTTGAGTGGTATTGGATTTTCCTGCTTCTTGGCCATCTAGGAAGGGTTTCTGAGTTGGCCCAGAGCCAGAAAAGAGGCTAAGAAGAGAAGGAAAAAGAGATAAGATGTCTCCAGTGGTGGCAAAAAAAGAATAAGTTAGAGACTAATATACATATAATATATGTGTGCATATATATGTATATGTGTATGTATGTATATGTACATATATATTTTTAAAGATTTTTTTCCTTTCTTATATCACTGAGAACCGGTAGAGAATCAGACAAGGAGAAATAGACTCAATCATTAGAAGACTTGGAAGATTATATTACACAAGGCAAATAACCCTTTGAGAATGTTAGATAATAAAGATAAATTGCATAATCTATAGAACACTGGTCAGGAGGGAAATCTCTTGTTTTTCACTAACTGCTTATTAGATACATTTATTCAAGTATTGAATATTCATTCTAAATTCTGTCTGAGAATTTAGACTTTCCTAAACAATGAAGATAAATAAATCTTTATAACCTTTATTTCAGACATACACCAATTTTCTTAACAATGACTTTCAGAAAAGCACACTCTTCAAAAATTTCCCATAGGAGACATCATGCAGATATGGATCATTATAGTTACATTGATCACATTATGCACCATGAAAATCCTGGAGAAATGCAGATATTCTCATGAAAGCTAAGGTCATGTGTCATTCAAAAAACTGAAAAAAAAAGAGAATTATACATATATACACACACACTGAAAAAAAAAGAGAATTATACACACACACACACACACACACACACATATTCTAGGTCATGGGAAAGAGCATTTCTTTTGTGCTGAAGGCAACTTTGAATACACTTTGCTGGCACTCAGTAACTTCATAAGAATGTGAAGCAAGGGTCATTCCCAGATTTTGAAAACCCTGCTTTCATAGAGGTTTCAGTCTGGCAGTGTCAAGAATCAGACTAAGAAAATCACTATTGCACCTTAAACATCATCTAATCCAACTCCTTCATTTTATAGATGAAGAAACTGAGCTCAACAAAGATTATTTAGCTCATCTGAGGTTACATTGCTAGTAGCAGAAGAGCCAGTTTTTAAACCTCTGTCCTCTGACACCAGAGCCAGAACTTTGCCTTTCAACCTTACCTGCTACATACTAGTTTCATCTAGTGCCCTTCCCAGAACAAGAAGGACCTCAGGAAGCACTAAACAGATAAGCATCTTCTGCTGAGCTTGAGTGCACAGAGTCACCCAGTCAGTCTAGCAAACCCAGTTTCAAATGAAGGAGTGGTACCAGGGGAATGCAAGTAGGGCACATTCTGTTGTTTTCCTTCCCAAGGGGGAGGAGTCTCAGCAGAGCACAAAAAAATTACACGCTGGGGAAAATTTCAAACTGTCACAGCTTTTCTTCTGTGAAGCCTCCAAATGAATCCCCCTTTTACTCATCTCATTCTTGATCTGTGTTCCCTGTATCATAAAACATCTGCCTAAAGAACAAGAATAGCAATGGTTATATTGACTTTCCTGGGGAGTGTAGTAGCCCCCTGGGGATATGTAATGAGTGTGGTCGTCTCAGTCACACATTTTTGAGCAAGTGCAGATAACCTCTTACTACTTGCTGTTGATCATGAGTATTCTTTTAACTAGCTGCTGAGCCGGAACTCCATGGGAACTACTGCTGTCCCTGCAGGCTATGTTCTTCCTGCTCGCCTCAAGGAGTAAAGACAATTCTTTAGGGATCAATGAGGGGTGCCCTTCCCCCCACCCAGCAACAAAGCATGAGCTCATGGCCTCCTGGACAAGCTTGTGTCTAAGTTAGGATCATCTCCTCTCTACATCTTTCTTTTTTTTTGGGGGGGGTGATGGGGGTGTGGTGGTGGTGGAAGATTTTGAAAGGCAAAAATAGTGGCAGACACAGGTTAAGGCTAGAGACACTTAGGAAAAGAGTCACCTGTGGAAAGAAGAACCACTGAAATAAAAGTGGTGTTCAATAAGCCATCTTCAGTGAAGGTGAAATATCAAATAGTTCCTCTCTATCAAAGAAGTTATTTACAAATGTCTCAGCAAAGCTTAAATAGCCTCTCAACTGATTGTAATTTTTTATGATTCTTTGTTGCTTAGAATTCTCTTTTCTAAGTGAGGGAATAAAACTTCCTGTTCAATACCTGATATGTTTATATTCTAGGCAGCTAGATGACCCAGTGTTTAAAGCTATGAGCCTGGAATGAGAAAGACATGAGTTCAAATATGACCTCAGACACTTACTAGCTGTATGACCGGTAGGCAAGTCACTTAACCCCTATTTGTCTCAGTTTCCTCTTGTATAAAATGGGGGTGATAAAATAACACCTACCTCCCAGGGCTGTTATGATGATCAAATGAGAAAATAATTGTCAAGCACAGTTCCTGGAACATAGTAAGCATAATCCAAATGTTAGCTATTATTATTATTATTATTATTAACATTTTTGTATCTCCCCCCCCAACTCCACTTTGTTGAGAGAAATCCATTAGACCTTAGCCCAAAAAACACTGTTCTTTAGGAATCTGAAGTTAGAGTGAGAGTGGAGTACTCAGTGTCTCATCCCCTGGTTGAAGACACATATCCTCAAAGCAAAGAACACAGGGAAAACTTCAAGGACAACTAAAAAACAGGGACTGGCAAAGAATTCCATTTCCCCTAATCTCATTCTAGCAGTGCCTGGCTAGTCTCTCTGCTAGGTTAGAACCACAGGGTCAAATAGCTTGGGATGGAAAGAATTACAAAGTTTAGCTCATCCCACTCTCTCATCCTGAATGCAGCTGCAAAAATGTACTTGTTTTTCTTGATTTGTGTAGTCGTCCTATAGTATCATCATATGGCATCAGGGAAGAGCTAGATGAAGCAGATTCTGAGATCCGCTTATGAGAAATAATATGTTCTTATGGATATACTAATCCTTTGTTTTTAAAAAATTTTTAAATATTATTTTATTTTTCCAATTGTCATTTTTTCTTTCTTCTACTTCCTCTCCCAGAGAAAAAAATCTTAAAAAGAAAATAAAAACTCTTGAAATTAATATGCATAGTCAAGGAAAACAAATTCCTGTCTATATTGGCCATGTCCAAAATTGTGTGTTTCATTCTGCACATTAGTCTATCATCTTTTTGTCAGAGGTAGGCTATGCTTTGTCATGAAGAGCTTAGTTCTATTTCACTGTCTCTATCTCACTGGGACTTCAGGGACTGAATGTTTAATAATTCCATTGATCTGTAAAGCTTTCCCCGAATTGGTCAAGGTAATTGTTAGTGAGTTTACAAAACTTCTAATTCTTATAATTCATGTCCTTCAGCACCCATTTGAGACATTATGTTTCAAATACTTTTTTCCCCCTAATCTGTCCCCAAAGCATTTAATTAAAGAAAGTGCATTTAAACCATAGTTCCCAAAGTAGGTGATACCTTTCCAGAGGTGGGGGGTGATGAGGAGGGGGTGCATGGTAGTAGCCTTGGGTGCATTTGGGAGGCATTGAATAAAAATAAGGGGTCAGTGGAAACATAAAAAAGAACAGAAGAAAATTCTGAAAACTACACATTTCATCTGTTGTGTAACAGAGTTAGAGTCATAGTGATTACATTATTTTCCAAATAAAAACAAAAATGCAAGTTATAACTGATCAGTGGTCAAGTCTGCCAATAGGTCTTAACAAGCAAGTGTGTGCAGGGGAGCTATTGCACATTGTCAGGAAGTCCAGCATACATTAGCAGTAATATGTACATATAATGACTTGTTTATAATATGGTATTATTGCTTACATAATGCAATATTGCATTGTCAAAATTTCAATGTAGGAAAAACCCCACAAATTTATAATAAATTATTAAATTTAAGATGAATCATTCAAAAATATGTTTTTGAAATGATACAAACTTTAAAAAAGAATTTAAAGGGCTAAAGAAAGTAGAGTGCTAAGTAATTTTCTTTTTAAAGGGGGAGTAAGACTGACTAAGTTTGGGAACCCCTGATTTAAACTAATGCTTACTTTCTTGTCAATGTTTCTATTTCTTCTTATTCTTCCCACTTGTTCCTCTTCCAGTCTTCTTGGTACATCAAAAGCCCATTTCAATAGCTGCTTCATCTTCTTCTATGTACTCAGGATCTTGTCAATCTTGTTGCTTTTCCTGCTCCTCAATTATCAGTACAAACCAAAGGTAGGAACTAAATTTAATGATGTTCCTTAGTCATGGGAAGCTCCTTAAATTAGTAATAAATTAGTAATAAAGAACTTTTGGATCAATGAACTCCTGGAGAGAGGAGAATTGATTGGCTCCCTGATTAGTAGCCAATCCTATATTTTCCCCAGATACTCTGGGGACCTCTTGCCCCAAGTAACCTTGCTACAATGGAGAAGTAACTACTGCTATGGCAGATTCTTTGCAATGCTAAAGTTGAGCCCTGAAGAGGATATATACATATGTGTGTGTGTGTGTGTGTGTGTGAAATATATATGTATACGTATATGTGTGTGTGTATATGTATATGTAAATATGTGTACAAAAATACTATATACTGAGCCAAGGCTCAAACCAGGAAGGGGATTTGTTGCCTTAATTCCTGCTACTCAAACAGTATTCCTGCCACAGTCTTGCTGCCATGATACTCTAAGTGATCAGTTAGGTAAGATCCTTCCTGATCAAGTCAACTTCCTTTCCAGATTTCTGTTCTCTACATCACAGCCATCTCTGTGATATAGTAGTTCCACTACCCTTTTCACTGATACACTAAGAATAATGTAATTACCTGGAACTCTCAAATTGATTAGTATCCAAGACTCTTTGCCCTTGATCTTGGCCCACACTTAAGATCAATCATGGAAGACACTTTATTCAGAGCATGGGATTTCCCCCACTTCCCCCCCAACATACACACCTGGAGGGCTTCCTTCCTCTGATTGGCTGTTATCTACACCAGTGAATAAAGTGACCAGTGCCATTGGTCCAAACACACAGCCCATGATAAAACAGTATTCCCATTCCTTGGGAGCGTGAGGCCTCTAGCTAACCCCAAAATGGGATTAACCCAGGTTCCCTTGCAATGCTCAACAGTTCCTCCTCATCTGACAAGATGCAAATATCCTGTCTTCTACACGGTCATTCTCTTGCACTAACACATCTATTAGAACTGCTAATTTATCTAGAAAGAGTAATCTTACAAATTAGCACTTCATTTCCTCACTTAAATCTAAAAAATATCACTATCCACCTGCTCCCTTCCTACCCAAGAGGGCTCTAATTAGTGAAATTCATTCATATACTCTTTCAAGAAACATTCTCTCTTGGATTTACAGTAGGGTTGGGATCATATTCCAATTAATAGTGGAATATCACCCAACTGCTAGAAATTCTTCCTTAGAGAGCTCATAGTGCCCCAGCAGAAAATTATTTACCTTCTATCATCAAAGGAACAAGTGAGTCCAAACTTACTCCTTCTAATTCATCAGTAGCAATGTATACACTAGGCTGGTATATCGATAAAGTAAATTGCTGGATCTGAAATGGCCATTTCACTGACTCCAAAGACTGATGTCCTTGGAACACAGGCCGGCTCAAACAGTGAGGCAGGGAGACAATATGGTATAGCGAAAAGAGTGCTGGACTTGGAATCAGAGGACCTGGGTTTAAATCCTGACTCTGCCACTTATTACTTACGTTGATGGAATATTAATAAAGCTGCCCCCAGCTGAAAGGACAATCTTAGCCTCAATTTAAGAGGGGACCCTCCTGGCTCAGTTTCCCCATTGTCTTCCTTTGAAAAGGAATGTTTCCCACCTGGATGTTCCTGAGTCTGGCTATGAAATGGAATTAAAGTGATTCTTCCCTGAATTCAAACAGAGCTAAGGATCCTGTCATATCTGGCATGTCCTTGCTTTTTCCTTTTATAGCAAATTTCTATAATCAGAGCAAGTGAAAGATATGAATACAATGCAAGTATGTGAAATCTTGCTGTTTTTATTCTGAATGTGTAGTCATTCCATATTCTAAACAACCAGGCAGATTATTACTCGGCCTTGTCATCTTGCCTGCCTGCATAGTGAAGTGAAAGATTAAATTCTTGGAATAGAACATTCTTTCTGAATGATATGGGAATAATTAGACAAAGAGAAAAGAAGTTTGTGAAAGAAAGGTAAAAACACAATGTTAACTATTATCCCATAGACTAAGGCTGGGACACATCTCCAAGAAGACTGGAAAAATAGCTCAAGTTGTAGAAAACTTTGAATATCAAAAGAGTTTATATTTTATTCTAGAGTACTAGGGAACCACTGGAGTTGACTGAGTAGGGAGTGGCATGGTTACAATTATGCTTTAGGAAAATTACTTCAACATCTAAGTGGAAGATGAATTACATTGTGTAAGTCTTGAGGCAAGGAGACCAATTAGGAGTTTATTTCAATATCACAGATGGGAGGTGATGGGGCCCTGAATTATAATAGTTATTATGTGACTGCAGAGAAGGGAAAGGTACTAGAGATGCTGTGGAGATGGAAATGGCAAGGTTTGGCAACTGATTGGATATATAGGGGAAAGTTACTTGGGATAGGGAAGAAGATTCCATTAAACTGGTTACTCTTATAATAGCTAATAATAATAATAATACATGACAATCATCATAATAACTAACTCATTAAGGTTTGAAAAGTATTTTATATAAAATATTTCATTTCATCCATCCAACAATCCTATCAGGTAAGTGCTAAAGTGGTTATCATAATAACCATTCTTCAAATGAGGAATCAGAATCTCATAGAGGTGAAGTGTCTTGCCCATGGTTACACAACAAGAAATGTAAGAAATGGCATTTGAAGCTACTATTGTGCTAAGGCCAAGCTCAATGCTATTTCTACTGTATCAGGCTGCTTTTTTATTGGCACTTATTTAAGTATGAACGTGGTTCAACAAAGTACTGGTTAGCTCTGCAGAAGCTGAATGTACAGGTTCACCATAGGTCATTTTCTACAGTGCCAAATACGCCTAGATCTTTGGCAGTTGAGCAAAAATAGACAAGACTTATAAGACAGAACAAGGGAAAATAGATGACACATTATTTGGTTTCCCTGCTTAAAGTGGAAGTGTCCTGATAGAGCAAAAGGGAAAATGCCCCTGGGGCACACAAACTGTCATAACTACATTATTTGCTTACCACCACCATTCTATTACTGTATGTGTCATTGACAAGCTGATATGAAGGTCAATGTTAACATTAGGGTCATTGTGTCTTTGCTTAAATATGTGTTTAAAATGTACTGGGCCCAGCCATGATGTGAGTACAAATGATGGTGGATTCTCCAAAAGGCTGAACTTGCTCTCTCTTTCTCCAATGTGTCTTCCCAAAAGTTCTAACATCTCTAAAGTTCAATATTTCCACAACTGTGGAGACAACAAATATTTGTAAAATGATTAGCACAGTACCTGGAACATTACTGATGCTTAATAAATGCTTGTTCCTCAACTGTATTCATTAGCTACAGACACTGCTTCTACCTGCTGGCTTCTTGTAATGATAAAAATCTGTGGTAATGAGAAACTGAGGCATAAAGTTCCAAGCATAATCAATTTATTGGCAAGGCTAGGGATTGCCAGTGAAAGAGATACAAGGCTCCTCAGTAGCCAACAATCTATTTGACACAGCAGCTCTTTTTGACAGTTGAAAGGGTAGCAATACCAAAAATAGTCCAGTGACCAAACTAAGACTATGATTGGTCTGGCACAGAGATGACTAATGGCTTTACACTGGCTTGAAGGGGATTTCCATAGCCCATAGCAATAGGGAAAACAAAGAGCTGACTAATGTTCTCTGGAAAGTTCCATGTTAGGCGCCATTTATCACCAGATTGACTCATGGTCAGCAAATTCAAAGATTTGAGTTAGAAACATAAGGGAGCTCAAATTCACATAATGAGGAGGCCAACCAATACATAGTGGATTGATCATTAATACATAATACATTTACTAAGCCTTATTAAAATAATACAAAATAAAACAGGGTATCAGTTTTCAATTTCTCATTCTTAAGTAGTCAAAGGCCAGGTTTCATGTTGCCCTGTTGCTATGGTTCATTCATTCACTCATCAAGCAATAAATTTATACCTAATAGACACAAGGCTGTGAATGTTTCTACACTAGGTATTTCAAATAGTTTTTTTTTAAGTCCAGATTGGATCAGCAACCAACTTTATCTAATATGAACTGTCTTCTGATAGGAAGTCTAAGCACAGTGTCTTAGTATGTAGTTAATAATTGATAGTTTACTGAATTGCTGACTGACATCTATGAAGACTAATTTGAAAGCCCTATTTAACTAAAAAAAAAGCTCAGTCCAGTGCTACTGTTTAATATGTAAATAGATACAGATATAGCTAAACTATTTATTAAGCATTTGTTTCATGCCAAGAACTATTCTAAGAACTGGGGATACAAATGCAAGCCACCAAGATAGTCCCCGAAGTTAAGGAGCTTATTTTCTAATGGGGAAAGACAACACATATAGGGGAGCAGGAAGGACTTATGGTACACGTACAGCAGCATGGTTTGGTGATAACAGCAACTAACATGATTTACCTATCAGAGCCTTGTATCCCATGGGTGGAGTCCAGGATTCCAGTGAAGCTAAAGGGAGATTAGAAGGACAGCCAGGATGTAGGCAGCATGGTGTGGAGAATAGAACTTGTATTTATTGGTGAATATGAGGTTGAATGAGCATACTACCTCACACTGTCATTGTAGCTACAGATGACTTCTAAAAACACAATCTCAACATGTTTAGCCAATGATCTAAACAATTCAGAAGCAGCAAGGTGGCACAGTGGATGGAGCACTAGGCCTAGAATTAGGAAGGCATGACTCAAAACTGGCCTTGGACAAGAACTAGCTTTGTGACCCTCTGTTTGTCTCAGTTTCCTCAACTGTAAAATGGGGAGAAGAATAGCACTTACCTCATAGGGTTATTGTGAGTCTCCAATGAGATAATATTTATATAGTGCTTAGCACCCTAGCATATAGTAGGTGATATATAAGTGCTAATTCTGTTTCCTTCTCACAGTCATCACCTAGCTGGAAGTAGGATAGTCAAGATTACTGGTTACTGCAAAGTTAAAAAGAGAGC